CACTAACACATCCTCCAACCACACACACCCATATTTTGCTCAATTGCAGTTTATTTCACACCTCAAACATTTAGTAAACAATTAAGCAAATACAAGTAATCTGCAGGTAGTAAGAAAATAAACTACTAACTCTTTATACTAACTCAATATACTGCTGTCGTAGGCATTCTATGTCACAAAAAGCATATATGACAGCAACTTTTAAGAAAGCAGAAAATGATGAACATACACTACTAGTCAAAATTCTGCAGTGACAACCGACTACCTCATGAAGCTCACTGACAGAAGGCTAGAGTGTGCAAAGCAGTGATCAAAGCAAAGGGTGGCTAATTTGAAGAATCTAATATCTAAAAAGTCTATTGGGTTATTTCATACTTTATTGTTTACTACATCATTTGTGTTAGGGTTAGTGCTCCATGTGTGTCCATTCATAGTTTTGATGCCTCCAGTTCGAATCTACAATGAATCTACAAAATAGTCGTGAAATAGTGAAAATGAAGAAAACCCATTAAAATGAAGGTGTGTACAAACTTTTCACTGTTAGTGTACATCAGATGTACAATGTCAATCATGAACATTCTGGTTAACACAACAACAAAGAAATATGCCCAGCTTTGAAGGACTCACTTATTCATTTGCATAATGTTACACATGTGACTTACAGCCTTTTACAGGTTTTCTATGTTTTGCTCCATGAAGGTTGTTTTTGTTTGTGTTTTTTTTTTAAAAAAAAAAGCATTAATGTCATATTGAATTTAAAGATTCTTTTAGGAAATATACCTAAAATATCTGGTAAAAAGTGTAAAATATGCTATGCCATGATCTATAGAGCACTGGAACAAATACTGTCAAAAAAAGTATTTTTTAAGCAAATCAATTTTTTTTTTTTTTTTTATTTACATTTCTCTGCAACAGCCTCAGTGTATCTTTGAGGTGGTGATGCTGGAGGTGGTGCAGGGGTAGCTTGTGGGGCTGTTGCTGGTGCTGCTGTCACTAGCGGAATTGTTTCTTCTACGGTTTGTGCTGTGGATGGAGCTGAGGCTTGTGGGGTTGTAGCTTGTGGATCTGAGTCTGCTGGTGATGTAGCTTTTGGAGCTGTGGTCTGCGAGGCTGGGTCTGCTGCTATTTGGGATTTGGTTTGTAGAGCTGTAGCGCGTTCTTGTGCTGTAGCAATAGAGATTGAAAATGTGACGTCATTCAGGGGTAAAACCGCAAAGGATTCTGGAAACTCGTGGCAAGAGGTACTAGAGCACGCAGGCTTTCAATTAAAATCAGTGGCTGGTTCTGGTGGTGCGTTTTCTTCCTGTAACTCCGAAATGACAACACAAGCACGGCTTCTTCAAGACGGGCGCTTCGCTGCATTTATTGAATGCCGTGAAAACTACAAACATAAAACACAAAGGCTTTAAGCGCTTCAGTCTATCAAAAGTAACACTCGTGCTTTAACAACAAAAAATTACCTCGTGGCCGCCTGCCACTTTGGAGGTCCTAGAAGAATACCTTTACAGTCTTGTTCATTCTAAATTAAAACATAAAATAATTAGAACACCATACATTACAAATTTTCACAATATTACAATACAGTTATGGCAAATAGCAAATACCTTATACAGCTGGTAGACTAACCAGGCCTTTGCAGATAGCTCGCTGAACTCCTTAGCGTGATTATTAAACGTGCTATACTATCACGCCCAAACCTCGCGATAATAGCGGTGTAACAAAACTTGTTCTTTGTGACAAGATAAACACACCTTTACAATATTGACCACAGAAATGTACAAGCAAGAACATTTTAACTGCTGGAACCATCTATTAAACTTCTTTAAACATAAGCCATTTCTGTGACACTTACACTTCCTGTGCTGTTGCTCCTGACCCTGCATCTGATACTGTTGTTGCTATACCTTATGGAACTGGAGATAGTTGTGGGGTTTTCACTGGTGGTGATGCAAGTGATGCCATTGGTGCTGTATACTGTGGAGCTCTAGGAAGTGGTGGTGCTCCCACCAATGGTGCTGCTGTAGTCTTTGGAGCTAGAGCAGATGCTGGTGCTGCTGCAGCTTGTGGTGCTGCTGGACTTGGTTGTGCTGTTAGTAATGTGGCTGCTGTTTTCTTTAAACCCCGGTCTGGCACTCTTGGCATACGGTCTTTGCTCAACTTTAGTTGGTCTATATTTACTTTTGGAATGATTGTCCCATTGGAATCCTGAAGATCCGCACTTTTACCTTGGATTGCTGTAATGATGTAAGGGCCTAAAAAGTTTGCTTCAAGTTTCCCCCCTTTCCTCTGCTGGTTTCTCATGTTAGCTCTTAAAACTTTGTCACCAACTTTGAAGACAACATCTCTCGTCATCATTTTTATTTTGCCCTTTGTTTTTTCCTGTGCTTTGACCACATTGTCCTTCACCAGTTTCAACAGCTTTTGAATGTCTTGCGAAAGCAATGTCTATTAATACTATAATCTGTGTAAGACACACAGATCAAAGATAAAAGAACTGAGAAATAAAGTGAAAATTAACATTAAGTGTCTTTGGTAAGGTTTTAAGACAATGCGTTTCTGGTACAGCTTCAGTGTATCTTGGGATTGATTGTACATGAAGAAAACTTAATGAGGGATGGAACAATCCATAAAAATAGTCAGTGGTGTAGTGCTTTTATGCATGCATGCATTGAAGCTGCTCTGCCTGTGCCTCAAAAACTTACACAGGTTCTTTGTGTGGGATTTTCATGTAGTTTGTCACAGACAGAAAGACATACCATGTACTCTTCTGGGATTTCGGATGGATAATGAGCCTCTCTGCCAAACATCAGGTAATAGGGTGAGTATTTGGTGGTCATTTGCTTTCTAGTTCTGAGTCCAAACATCACAGCATCCAGATACTCATCCCACAATTCTGGATGGTCACCAACAATCTTAAAGAGGCCTCTGACAATGGAAGCACATGGAAAACATTCATATGAAAGATCATTTTAATTTTTTAATAGTTAAATGTCATGCATTAATGTTTTAGTTGAAGTGAATCCCATAAAAGTATAAAGTGTTATGCATTAATTAAGCTGCATGCACTCCAATTTACCTCTGAATGGTGCC